GAAAACATTTTTATTCCTGTTATTGTACAATATTTACCGACTAGGTGTTTACCATTTTTTTTTGTATTTTCCAAAGCTGCGTTAACTTTTTTATTTTCATACTTACAAATCAGGTCATTAACTATTATTGGTCGGTTCGAAAAAGCAACCCGATATCAAGTAGTGATGGACACACTGCTTAACCGCTACAGACTTAAGAAACTTAAATGAAAACGTATATAGTTATAAAAAAGAATAATTTGCTATAAAAACAAGTTAACAAAATATCTAATGAGCAAATCGAGTAATAAACGAGTAAATAAGTACGATAAATGAGTTATTAAAACGAGTAAACGAATCGAGCAAACTAATTATAAATCGAGTAAATAAATATAACAAATGAATCAAGAAATCTAGTGAATTATCAATTCGAGTAGGTAGAATTAATTGATCAAATTGATTAAATAAATTAAGTAAATGAGTTAATTAATCAAACAAACTAGTCATTAAATCGAGTAAATAAACCAAACCAGCAAACGAGTAAATAAATCGAATAGACGAGTTATTTAATCCATGTAATTATTTTCTAGTAAATGAGTATTCATTTTGAGTAAATGAGTCGATAACTCGAGTTAACGAATTACATCCAGTAAATAAACCGAGTAAATAAATGGAGAAAACTAGTTAATAAACCCAATCAACTATAACAGCAAATCGAGTAAATAAATAAGCGTAACTCAAAAAAAATTTCCACAATTTTCTTGGGCGATCCTAGACTTAGAAAACTTAATCGTGTTAAAAGAAAACCTACAAAATTTCAATAGTTTTCTGGGCGCTTAAATGGGTCATCTGGTATTCTTTGAAAATATAAGAGGATCGAGGTAACGGTTATTTGTTTTTGTACTTTTTTTTAATCAGTCACATCAGTCTTGTTCGCTTTATCGCGCGGTACACATACGTTTCGTCGAGTTCCCGAGTATTATAGCGGAATAATGGCAGTATAATAAAATAATATAATATATATTTATATGTTGTGTTTTGGCAAGCATCCGCGCCGGCAGTGTCTGCTGTGTGGAATTTTATTCGGCAACGCATTTTCGGGTCCGTGTAAGATTCCCACGACGGTTAATAATTGAAACGGTCCCCTGCATATACTACTGTGTATAAATGATGGTGCTGTCGCCGGCAGCCGTATGTAGATTTCACAGCCCTTCCTTATTCTTCCCCATTTGCTTCTTACTTGCCCGTTGCAATTTAAAGCAATTTAAAGGCAACGACTTACACCGTCTGAATTTCTCGATTTATCATCACTCGTGCACGCGGATAAATAACGTCGAGCCCGCAGCGATCAGAGCGTAGGTGTAGTATATCTCTGCACTTGCTTGTATGTATAATAATAATATGTCCTATTACACATATGCCCACACACACACGTTTATATAAATTACTTTGAACATGGCAATTTAGAAAGACTCGCGCGGAAAGTGCGTACCAGACCGACGGCGGTAAGGTCTGTATTAAAGCAATGGTGTACATAATAACATTATATAAAATCTCTCCATTCGGCCTTGTTATTTTATTTTTTCATCTCAAGCAAGATCATCGGTTCGGGTTTAGATCTAATTCGCAGTGGCATCGAATGGGCAATGCACTTCACTTATCTGAGTTGGATCCTACCGACTGCGCCATGTAAAATATTCAATTTCATACTCGACGGAATAATAATAGTTAGAACACTATTATTTATTAAATTGACTAATTTTATCGAGTAACAGAAACATGCATATTATTTAATATTGGTGTCGAGTAAACACAAGCAACACAGGAAACAGTTTCTCTATGTTGTGCCATAGATCCCAGGCATTAATTATTATTGCTACCAAGTCTCAGTGCTCAGTGATGTCTCGAAGCTTTGCTGGTAGTTTATTTGATTATTTTGAATGGATGTTATTAAAAAAAAAATACAATTCTCCGTCAACCCACTCACTCGGGTGGCAATCTGTCGAGTGTGCTATTGTAATCGTGGCGTGTGTTTGCGCTTTACCCGTTAAGTAGTGTATAAATATTAATACATGTGATCTCTCATTGGATGGGAACCGGCTTACTCGCGTCCGTCTTATCCGGATTATCTGAACTATGATGATTAAAATTTAATAACCGTGTTTTCATTGAGTCGTAAATGAGATTACATGCCGGCAAACGAGCCCGACTAAAATGTAAATATTATGAATATGCGATGATAATAATAATATATTGTGCAGGTATAACAGATTGTGCAGACTCGAAATTCCGGCTGGTTCGTCAGCTATGTCACTATTACCATACAAGAGGGTCGTTTGTAGATCACATTGAGTTGAAAAATATTTTGATTTATAAACAAATGGTATAACGTCCACTGTCACAATATTCGAAATGCAGATTTCCTGTCCTGTAGACAAAAGCTAACACAGCAATCTCCCATTTTTGGCTAACATCTTTTTGGGGAAAACTCCATCCCTCCCCTCCAAAATTTCTTATTCCTTATCAATTTTAAAGTACCAATTCCCCTATGGCAAATAACGACCCCACTTCTACTGTCTATTAGCCGTATAATATTTTCTTCGAGCCCTATTTGTGCTTGTTGTTTTGTTTTTATCAGAGACATTTTGTTTAATGTATGATGCAATACCCTTTTTTTTATTTGTTATTCTGGTTGGTACAGTTATGAGAAGGACAAGATAAAGAGAGAACCGTACAGAACACCAGACATTTCCAACACTATGTCTATGTTTTTCAATAATATTTATCATATTAATGCACTTGACCCATATCCAACCGGGATAAACGTTTGGTACATATTGTAGAGGCTGCAGGTTGACTCCGTCGGTCGATTATAAATAATAAATAACAATATTCTGTTCGTTCTTAACGTTTTCTTAGGCCGAGTGTTTAAGCAAACAAAACCCAAAGCGATCGTTACTTGTACAAATGTTGAGATGGAACCATCCAAGTGTTGTTAATGTGTGACAAGCAAACAATAACGATTGGCGTTAAACGCAATGCAAAACTGAAATCGCACAACAAACAACTTTCCCTCCTTTAAAAAAAAAAAAATAAAATGTCCATTGTTTTGATAGTACTTTAGTACATATTATTACAATTTTTTTTCAGCTAATACAAATACTTTACACCTATCCAAGAACACTGTTCGGAATCCACAGAGTTATTTCATTTAAATCGGTTAATTAGTTGAACGTTAGTCAATAATAGGTGCAATTAACGAAAAACAAGACATTTTAAAATCAGCCAAGTGGTAAAAGTTCAATATGATTTAGTGAAGTATGTAATTTTGGTTTCGAAAGAAACTGGATAATATTCTTACCTTTAGATTGTTTCTGAAATTTAAATTTTTATTCATAGGTCAAACAGAATTTATTTTCATGTCACTATTGTTAAAAAAACGATTGTAAATTATTTAAGTATGTTACACTAAGCCTTTTTTTTTTTAATTAATTTCATTTAATAAAAACGTTATTCGCTAGAAAGGTAAACAATTTTTTTTTTGGAAAATGTAATACAATCAATTTGTATTGAATTCTCGGGGTAAACCATTATTAACAACGATGATAATGATAGCAATGATGTGGAACCTAGAATTTGATTTTTTTAATTTATTATGTGGGACAACTGAAACAAAGTAAAAGTGAGATTTATACAGTGCACAAATTGTATTAATTAATATACATTGAATCGAGACTTTTTAATTGACATGGTATAATATATTTTTATATATGTAACGGCTTTGGCGTTGCCTGTCAGTAAAAAGATTGCAGTGTTAAGAAACAATTGAATTTCAGAAAACTGTAAATCATTTTTCATTCATTATTTCTGCAATATTCTTTTTTACGGTCCATTGTCGTTTTTTTTTTTTTTTTTGTAACGCTTGTATTCCACAAAGGTTCCACAATTGATTGAACTAGTTTTTTGCATCCTCACAAATAATAAATCCGATTGATTTCATAAAGAAAGTAATCCAAGAAGTAGAAATAAAACGATTTGGTAGAATAATATTATAATCAAACGTTTCAAAAACACTTTCTAAGAATATATTTCGGTTTTCTCTCGCGTCAAAATATAATATAATATTCTCTTTGTGTCTTATGATAAGTTCAGTGGAAAAAAAATAACAATTACATTTGCTTTTGTGTTTTGGTCTGTGAAGTTAAATCAAAAGAATTGTATAAAGGTGTTGTAGAGGTTGTGGAATTAAACGGAAATCGTTAAACGAGGACAATATACAATTATTACATACATAATAAGAATTTTTCTCTCGATTCAGATTTAGTATCTTATAACTGCACGTGTGGCTTTCTTTAACTGATATTGGCAAGTTACATCCATCACTGTTGTGGGCGTATGGCAAAGTAAAGCTTATTAAAATACAAATAAAAAACCTTTTACAATCCATCAATGTAGTAAAATATATTATTACGACGTACAATCCGATTCGGTATCAAAAATTCTATGAAAAATAATATGTAGGTTATAAGAAAGATTACCCATAGTTACATCACAATAACAATTTTAGCACAGTTACAGTTATAGTGATAAAAATTCTACTTTAATTATTTTTAGCTAATACAAACACTTACACCTATCCAAGAACACAAATAGTTTGATACTAAAAAAGAATACCAAATAGTTGTATATTAAAATATATGCTTAAATGTTCCTGTTTTGGACTAAATGAATACTATATAAAATAATGATAATAATAAAATCATACACTCAAATTTAAACATACTACATTTCTGAAGAAAATAACTGAACTTTATTTTAAACGGAGGTTGATCATTGCATTTATTTTACTACACAGTTCACTATTAAATACTTACAAAATATAATAATTATTTAACCTAATCCAAAGTTATAATAATGTTTCCATTATAGTATTTGTTTCTTTAATATACAAAAACAAGTACGTAAATTTGTGGTTTTCAGTAAAAAATATGTGTTTGCACTAAAAACAAGTAATTTTAAAATTGGTCAAATAATAAAAGTTTTATTATGATTCAGTGAAATATATAATTTTGGTTTTGACAAAATGTAAACATAATTTGATAAATTATTATATTGTTATTGAATCTAACTGGATATACTTATTCTTCCTCTCTGAAATAAAAAAAAAAGTTTTTTTTATTTATATTAGGTCAAAATTAATTTGTTTTCATGTCACCATTGTTGGCTATTGTAAATTCGTTAAGTATCTTACAATTCGATTTTTTTAAAAACTTCATTTCTCCAAAAAAAAAAAAATACTAGTAAGGTATAAGTTCTTCGGGAAAATGTATTACAATTTTTTTGTTGACTTATTAATAATCCATTATTTAAGCGAACCAAATTAATTGTATAAACTTGTTTAATTAGAACAATTTTAAATTAAGTAAATACTACCTTGTCTTGGATCTACTGCAACGGATGTGGCAAGAAACGTCAGGTATGAATTTCAGGCATTTTATGCATTTTTTTAATATATCCTTCTTTACTTCGTTGCTCTTTCTCAATGGGAGAACATCCCAAACTAAGCTAACTACAAAAATTTAAATAACTTCATATTAGGAACTAATGATTGTGGAGATACTGAAATATGGTAATATGTGAGAACTATATATTTTATAGTATTAATTAGTTTATGTTTGGCCGACAGAACAAAAAACAACCAAGCTCATATCTAACAACTATATAAGGAGAAAAAAATACACTAAACAAGTACAATATCTTTAAGTATATTAAAAACGTGTATACTGACCATTTTTATCCTTACGAAGCATCTCATCTAGATCCAAAAAATTGTATAAATCAAATTAATGTTTGCTAACGATAAATCGACATAATGGTAATAATAGAATGTGTGTTATGTTTTTATAGTAACTTTAATGCGGTTTTAAAATGCCGAAATTAATAGATTAATGAAAACAGAAGTTTCCCATTTAAAACATCTAAAATGTTCCTTTGAATTTAGTTATTCTACTACAAGGGTAAATAATCAATGACAAAAATACATTTAACATGTAATTGTCACAAACAAAAAGAAAAAAATGTAATTTCTTATAAAACCCTATGAGATATTGAGATTCTCAAGAATCACCTTGTACATATTATGAAGAGTAGGCTATTACTAATTTCTTATCCTATACTGACCTTTTGAGCTTTCCGAAGAATCTTTACCTAATCCAACAAAATACACAAATCAAATTAACAATTGCTAACTTCCTAAAAACAAAAATATAATTTTTATTCTTCTCTTGTGTACACATTGTCTACGTCACACAATCATAGTCCTAGGATCACTCTGAATATATGACCATAAAAATATTACCATGATTTGATAATTTTTTTTCAAAACTTAAAGCAATAAAAAAACTGTAGTCTCGATATTATCTACTAAGCATCTTTGGCTAATCCAAAAAACTATAAAAATTAAATAACCGATTTCAAAGTAAAAAAAAAACCATGTAAAAAAATTAACTGTTTGTAGATTTCATTTTTACACGATTTTATAGTAACCTTGATTAAAACAATGAATAAATATATTTTGTTATCTACTATTCTGTTTACCTTAGGGTGATCTAATAAAAGCCTATTTTATTATTTCATGTTCTTCTCTTGTAAATATATCATTTGGATAAAAAGAAAATGTTTGAATTTATTTTAAAATTGTTTAAAACCATTTCTAGAGGTAGTTTGTGTCAATTATGTATCTATATTTCAATTTTTTAAATTTGTTTTTGTTCAATAAAAACATTTATAATAGTGAACTTTTGATTTAAAACAGAAACGAAACACCTCTGGAAATAGTTTAAAAAATTCCGGTTTTTCTTAATCGCCCTAATATATGCGTATTATATAAAGAGGGCTAATACTAAGAAGGATATTACTAATTCTATCTAACCCAACCGACTGTAAAAATTGTTTTTTAAAATATTATAATATAAAATAATAATAAATGTAAATGTATTAACAAACTACTAAGAATTAATATTACGTAATGAATATAACAATTTAAACATAATAATTCTGTTGTTAAATTTGAATAATACGTAGGTTTTATATTTTAAAGAAATATAATATTACTCTATAAGTAATAATAATTACTAAGATTATAATACATGTTAACTGTTTTGCATCAGTTTCTTGATTTCTTTATTGTAATAAATAAGCACTTTTTTCATTGATTAATGAGTATTACATAATTTAGTTGAAAATATTACACAATGTGTACATGTCATGTATTAGGTACAACGATAGAAAATAATATTATGTCGTTGACATTAAATTTTACATACTTTATTTTAATTATAAAAAAATTGAACATAGAAAAATACTATTGCTTAAGTCTTAGTGAATTTATAAAAAAAATATCACATTCTACATTTATGAAAACATATTTTTTAACAATTTATTTGTTTTTAATATGATTTCGAAAATACAAGTTAAGCTTGTCATTTTTTTTTTTTTAAGAAATTTCAAAATAAAACATTCGTCGTATACTGAATTAGGAAATGTGCCTTTAGTGTTGTCTAGAATTAAGAAGAAGTATAGATTAATCTTAGATCTTAATAGTTTAACACAGTTTAATCAAAATGTCCGTAGTGCATAAATGCGTTATATGGGTTAAGATTAAAGCAAATGCTAAAAAACTAAGAACCTATCTCCTGTAATCCTACACTAACTAAAACACACCAAATTTAAAACAATAAGTAAATAAGTAACCTATCCTCTCTTATAATTTGTAACAGGTGTTATACTTTTTTTTTCTTTTCCACGTGCACCCATAGAATACCGGGGGGGGGATGCGCCCTGTGAGGCATTACTTCCCCCCAGTCTCCGATGCCATTTATTGGGTATTGTAAACAATAAATACAAACATGAACTTAAAAACTAACACACCCACTCCGGGTGGTGGCCTAATAACAATATTCACATTAGGCCACATCGAAATTTAGTTACAAGTTTACTTACGGCTACATTGAAACTGCTATACACTCAATTATATTAGTCTATACAGGTTTATGTACAATCCAATCCCCGGTGGAATGTTTCCGGGCCGGTGACGCGCGCACCCGCCGCCCTTGCACACCGGGCCTCTCAATTGGCCGGCCGCTGTCTAGCCCTCTCTGCTTCCTCCTTCTCTTTGAGGACCGACTCGGCAAAGCGGGCGACCGCGTTCCACGCATCAGGGCTTGCAGTCATGTTAGTGAGTTGGAGATCCAGCTCCCGGAACTTTGCTGCCACCGCACACAGAGCTCGGTTTGTCCTATCACCTAACAGGTATTAAACTAGCGTTTTGTATTTATTTATATACCTACTATTGTATTATAAGTATTATTTAGTAGTAATTAAAGTATATCTAACTATTAGCACAGTCAGTTCTAAGTAGGTATGTCTACTAATTCTAAAATTACCATTCAAAAGGCAAAATAAAAATATTGTATATTGTTTGCAGTTGTCCGTTCAGCGTTCTGACAATATAAAAGGGATTGCGTTCCAACTTTTTCTGATAACACTGACTAGAGTAGGTGCCTCTGACAATTCAATAACAAAATATTTATTAATATTAAGGTTATAACATTATAATTTAAGTAGCTAAATACATTATTTTATTTTACCTATTATTTTCTCAGTTTTCACAATGATGTAGGTTTTTTGTAAAGAGATTCATATCATTCTACTTCATAATATATCAAACAAACGCTTTCAAAATAACTTTATTGGTGTATCGGGAAGAGTGTGAAAAACATTAATTATCAGTGCCTTTACCTAACAGAAAACAAAATATTGTTATATGTATAATAGCTTAAAATAATTTTAAGTAGTTAACTTACCATTTAGCATTATCATTTTTGAATAACTAAATCAAACTTCTTTATTCCAAAAAGTTTAAATGTGATTCACGAAATGAATGCCGACATTTTCTTATAAATATTATGTTTTTTAAAACAACTTTAAAGATAATCATTTTTTAGTTTTATAATACCATTTTCCAATGGTATTAAATGCAAATATATTTAAAATTAACATAAAACGTTTTATTTATAGGGGTTACCATTTGAAAATCAAAAGTTGGTGTCGTGTTTTTGAGGAAGGGGGGGAAGTATTATATAAAAAGTTAGTATTTTATACACAAACAAATTATTAATCATTTTTTTTTGTAAAAATCTAAGTAGTTTTTGAGTCAAGTAATGTAGGGCGTTAAAAGAATCACCCTGTATAGTATTCATAAAACAGATATTAAACTATAAGAGACGTGTGCAAATTACATTCACGGTACACATTATAATCATTGGACCTATGTAGTTTTTCCACGTATATACAATCTTATAAGCATCCTCATGTCACACCAAATACCTGAACCCCTCCTCCGCATACCTACCATTTTTTTGTAATAACGATTTCAAGTACTTGAACCAACCAAACCCACAAACTTCATCATCGCCCATCATGATTCCCTGCCTTGCCAAATAACTTACACCAAAATCAAACACGATTGCCTACGTTTTACTTCTACTATTCCTCAGTAATTTTCCTTCAAGCGCTTCTCTCCACTTCTCAAGTCTTTCAGCCAATTCCGCCGGACTTCCCCCCACTATCACTACATCATACACCATGGTACCTCCCCCTGTATATCTTTCGTAATCTCGTCTGGTACTAAAGAGAACAATAATTAAGGACTCAATGCTGAACCTCGATGATGCACACCTAATCTTATGTTTCTTTACACACTCTCACTCTTGTCCTTGTCATTTCACACATAAGATAATTTGATATTTTATAGTTCTATTCTAGATCTAACTTCGGTCTAATTTTCAGACCTTAATCCCAAAAACATTACTTGAAAAAGTGAAATAAAGAAATGTTTTTACCCTTTCTAGGGAAAATGGTTTATGATATTTGTTTGGGTTGTTAGCGTTTTTCGCTGTTATTTTGATTAAAGAACATTTCATACAAACTTGGAACGAGCTCGTCTATTAAAAAAAAAAGATAGAGCATCGTAGTTTTAAGTTGAGAAATATGTACATTTTTAGGGTGTTTTTCTTTGACACAATAAAGGTACGATTTCTGATCTATAGAATTGCCACACGAAGAAATAGGTTCTGTGGTATAAAAAATATCGTGGGTCTAAGACATCATTATTATTTTACAGTCAGTAAAGCGTTGACAATCTTATTTACAAAACCTTATTCAAAAATTAATTGCAAATGTATCACAAAAACAATGAGCGGGTGATGAAATCAACGGATTGGTCACTACCCGCTAACTCCGAAGCACATACCTATAATATTTTGTTCTTGCTAAATCGAGACAAGAATATACTATATATTATAATGTTATTATAAACACAATAACATTATACATAAATAAATAAATCAGTACAGAAGAGCTTAGCAAAGTTGGGTCAAAGCAGTTATTAAATCTGAGTCTGATTGCGTCACAATTAAACACTCCGATGCGAATCCAGCACAGTCATATTCGAACCTTATTAACAGGTACTTTACAATGACAAAACCAGATAAAATACGATTGGCAAAATAAAAGGTCTCGACAGTTACGTTTATAGTATAATTACAAAATTCGAGAATTCTAAAATATTATACTTCATACATTTATAAAACAAAAAAAATATATATATATATTGTAAGTGAAAAAATAATATAACAATAAAATATAATTTGATATTAATATCAGTCTATCTTGTTAAGTGCGAAAGGAACAAATAAGCTTATACTTTGAATTTAGCTTAAACGACTGGAGCTGGTGTCGACGTTTCTAGTATCGTATCATCTGTTTCGTTGTCCTCCTAAAATATATATTCTCGTTAAATTTCTTACAATACGATGTTACAAACAAAATTGTTTTAAGATAAAAATATGTAAGTATGTACCAATTTTGGTGTAACCTGTAAATTTGCTACTGCTCGATCTACTTCAACGACGTTGGAATCTAACGTTACTTGAGCAGGAGCCTCCAAATGTACACAATGAAAAACCTACAATGTGAAAGAGAGTGATTAACAATTAAAAGTGCCACTCGTAGAATAATTTTACTCACTTCATTTGCTGAATTATAAACGCCAGTAATACGAATGTACACTATGGGCCTTGGTTTAAATTGTAGCACCTGCCATGATCGTGTCAACTCCTTGGATTTATCTACGATCAATTCCCAATCCCACGTATTGACAGAAACTTCAATATAGTAACTGTAGTATCGGTCA